GTGGGTGCAGGGGTCGGGGCGGAGCTGAGCCCTTGCCACCACTCACTGGCCATGCCCTGTGTGTTGCAGCCAGCAGGATGCACAGGAGTTCCTGCGGTTCCTCCTGGATGGGCTGCACAGCGAGGTGAACCGTGTGCTGGTGCGGCCCCGGCCCAGCACAGACACCCTGGATCACCTCCCGTAAGTGCTGGCTGGGGCTGAGGTGCTGGGAAAGACACACAGAAGAGCTCACTGCCTACAACAGTGACCACTCAGGTCCCTCTGGGTCGGGTGGCAGGGCATGGCATCCCCCAGGTCACACTCAGTCTCTCTCTGTCTCCCCATCCCTCGCAGTGACGACGAGAAGAGCCGGCAGATGTGGAGGAGGTACCAGGAGAGGGAGGACAGCAGAATCAGTGGTGAGCAGGGCCAGGGCAGGAGAAGAGAAGGGCATGGCTGGGCTAGGATTTGGGCTGGGAATTGAGGGTCTCACCCTGCTCTGTCCCATCCCACCAGACCTCTTCGTTGGGCAGCTGAAGAGTTCGCTGACCTGCAGCGAGTGTGGCTACCGCTCCACCCCGCCCCCTCCCTTCTGGGACCCTGCCCATCCCCAAGGTGAGGGATCCCCAATCACCCCCAGCCCCCTGCTCCACACTCCCTGTCCCTGACCCCCACTCTGTTCCCACAGAAAGGCTACGGGGAGGTGACGCTCATGGACTGCCTCCGGCTCTTCACCAAAGAGGACGTGCTGGATGGAGACGAGAAACCAGTACGGGGCAGGGGGACTTGCCTGGGGGCAGGCTGGGCTGCTTTCCCTCCGTGCCTGTGCTGCCAGGACTGTGGGCTTGATGCCCAGTGTGTCTGGCATCTGCCCTCACCCTCCTGCTTGTGCTGTTTGTCTCCCACAGACATGTTGTCGCTGCAAATCCAGGACGAGGTGCACGAAGAAATTCAGCATCCAGAAGTTTCCCAAGATCCTGGTGCTTCGTATCCTTCAGGCAGAGCAATGGGGCAGGGAGTGTTGAGGGGGGGGAAGGTGGGTTCTCAAGGCTCCTTAACGTGCCCCCCCAGACCTGAAGCGTTTCTCAGAGGCCAGAATACGAAGCAGCAAACTCACCACCTTCGTCAACTTCCAGCTGAAGGACCTGGACCTCCGGGAATTTGCCTCACAGACCTGCAGTGAGTCCCAGTTCATGCATGTCTCCAGCACAGCCTTGGAGACTCCTGGGTTCCTCCTCCACGGGCTGTGGTTGGGGGCAGAGGGTTGGGGGGTGGGAGCCACAGCCACCCAGAGTGCTGGTCCCTCCTGGTGCCAGCTCTGTGCTGGCATGCTGGGGGGCAGCAGGGCTGAGCAGCACCCCTTGCTCCCCACAGACCACGCCGTTTACAACCTCTACGCTGTCTCCAACCACTCGGGCACCACCATGGGGGGACACTACACAGCCTACTGCAAGAGCCCTGTGTCCAGCGAGTGGCACAGCTTCAACGACTCCCGGTGAGGCTGCGTGTGGGACAGGGGCAGGGTGAGCAGGGAGCCTGCTCAGGGCATCCCAGTGCCTCATCCCCACGGCTCACACCTCTCCCTTCT